GGGTAAAAGCAGTTGCCAACACAGACCTAGGATCATTGTTCATGTAAAGAGCTGACTGTTACAGAAGCTTTTCTTAACTTGTATGATGTGCTTATTATAGTCTGGCTTTGGAGAGGGAAGCAGCTTTGTCCATTTTAAGTTGTGTAAACTTTAAAGTGTTTGTCATTAGGCATTAAAATGGAGAGAAACAGAATGTTATCCTACAAAAACATGCTCTTTGTCCACCTCCTACCAGCACTGGTCTAATCCAGCTGTATTTTCCCTTGGATAGGAACGAGAACTCCTTAGGGGTCTCCAAACAGGCCAAGTTTTTACTACACCCAATGATATCCTAATGCTAACTATGATACTAGCATCCCCTACTCCAACAGGGATATAAAGCAACTTCTTTCAACCCATCAAAGCTTTGGGCAGTGTAAGAATCTGAAAGCTGGGTGGCAGTTTCTACTGAATCCAGGCTGGCTTTCCCTTTTTAGAAGTGCCTCACCTTTAGTCTTGGCTGTCCCCACCCATGTGCTGATCCTTACTGAACTATTAATAGCGCGTTTGGGGAGGCTTCTCTAATGCTTATCTTGAAGTAGTGGGTTGTGGAGAGGAGGTTGCAGTGGGGACTGAAACTAAAACCAAAGATCCAACTACTGCAAATTCAGATCTGGACTTCTGTAGTTAAGGCCACAAACTACTCAAACAAGGACTGACTCTTTGGGGTCTTGGCCATTGAAAGGAAACACTAATGAGCTGCCTTGCTGACTTTTAACCTAGTTCTAATGCACATTGATGTTGCTACTTCTATTACCAGACAATAGTTCAACCCAAGTCTTAATCCAGTTTTTCCCTCTTGGGACTGAACTTTTAAGTCTTTTGTAAACTCCTCTTTTTAAGGGGAGTTTATTCCTCAACCTAACAACTAAAATTGTGTGTGTTGTCTCTTTAATTATCAGGGAATTCTTCTCCCACTATGACTGGCCTTAAAGTGACCAAAACCAAACAAAATGACAAGTATGTATCTCATGTAATCTGATGCCCACTTGCATTTACTTCGCACTAGGCTCTTCTTATGTGGTTATTCCTTTTCCTCCTACAGTGTTTCTCCTAACGAGAAGGAGATGGAGGTGAGTCTTAACTACTTGTATCCTGAAATATTTCAGCCAGTAGAACTTTCTAATGGTCCTTTCTTTCTGAAATTCAGGTAAAGCATTTTTCAATGTACTGAGTGGTTTTGAAATTGACCTTCTGCCTCCCCTTAAATTAATGAAATTCATGTAATCCTTGATTTAGGTAAATATTCATGCCAGTGGTGGTGTTGGACTTCCATGTCCAATTGAAGCCCCCTGTGTGCTAGCGGTGAAGGGAGATCCTTTCAGAGGATGAAGCTGAAATCTGTTTATCAAAAGATGCTCATAAGCAGTGCAGGAAAACGGGGCAGAGGAGGAAGGCTATAAAAACGAAGACTCTTGTCACTATATAAACTTTTGGGTTTGAATTTTCTCTACTGGTGTCATTTTATAGGGGGAAGGAGAGTTCTGGCCTAGACACAAGCTTCAGCCTAACAGAATGTGCTAACAGTACAGTTCATATTGCCAGGCAGAATTGTTTCATGTTGCCTTTCCCAACAGGATGGACTGTTGGGGATGTGGAGAGAGAGAGAGAGAAGCTATTCTGGTGGTAAACTAATTATCTATCACTAGAGATGGGTAGAGTTGCAAATTTTGATTGATTTTATTTAATTTATTTATTTATTTTTATTTAAATTCGAAGCCTGTTGGGGAGGGTTCAGAACTGGTGACCTCTCCTACAACTCCTCCTGTCATTCATTAGCAATAGCTATTGAGTCTCTGAGGTAACTCTTAGTCCTGAATATACTTCTATGTTGCCTGATCAGTCATGACTTTTTTTTTCCCCCCTCTCTCTTCCCCTACAAAAGGCAGAGTTTCTCAGATTGTCTCTGGGCTTTAAATGTGACTTGTTCACCTTGGATAAGCGAGTGAGGCTTGAAGAAAGGTCCCGAGATTTGGCTGAAGAAAACTTGAAAAAGGAGATCATGAATGGGCTGAAGCTGCTGGAGGTTAGCAATGGATGAGATTGGAAGGCGGGAGGGTACAAGTGGCCTGACAGTACATTTTAACCATAGAAATATGGGGCTGGAAGGACCCTAAATAGGTCTTCAAGTCCAACTGGCTGTGCAGAGGTAGGACCAAATATACCTAGACCATCCCTGACCGGTGTCTGTCTAGCCTGTTTTTAAAAACCTCCAGTGATGAGGCTTCCACAACTTTTCTTGGAAGCCTGTTCCAGAACTTAACTGTCCTTGTAGTTAAAGTTTTTTTCCTAATAGCTACCCTAAATTTTCCTTGCTGCAGATTAAGCCCATTACTTCTCCATGTCCTCTCAGGGAATGACCAGAACAATTGATCAGTCATCTTCGTAACAGCCCTTAAGCCTTCAAATATGTTATCAGGTTCATTCTCTTCACTCCCGTCCCCCCACACCACCTTAGTCTTTCCCCTCTCCCCCCCCGGCCCCCAAAGACTAACTATGGCCAGTCTTCGAATGTTCCCTAATAGGTCAGTTTTTTCTTAAACCTTTTTATCATTTTGTTGTTGTTGCTGTTGTTGCTCTCCTATATGGACTCTTCAGTTCCAGGCACCACAATTTAGGAAAGATGTGGACACGCTGAACACAATATGCCTGTTGAGGCCTCACCAGTGCCAAGTAGAGTGGGACAATTACCTCCCTTGTCTTACATAAACACCCCAGTTAATACAGCCCAGAATGTTAGCCTTTTTTGCAACTGCGTCACACTGACTCCTGTTCAATTTCTAATCTACTATAACACCCAGATCCTTTTCAGCATTATTACTGCTTAGCCAGTTATTTCCCCATTTTGGCTTTGTCCATTTGACTTTTCTTTCCCAAGGGTAATACTTTACACTTGTCTCTACTGAATTTTATATTGTTGATTTTAGACCAATTCTCCTATTTGTCAAGGTAATTTCGAATTCTAATCCTGTCCTCCAAAGTACTTGCAACCTCTCCCAGCTTGGTGTCAGCCACAAAGCTTATAAGCACATTCTCCTCTCCATTATCCAAGTAACTAATGAAGATATTTATTACATCCTCCCAGTGTGACCGCAAACCACTGATAACTACTCTTTAAGTACAGTCTTTCAATTCCTTGCACACCCAGCTTATAGTAACTTCATTGATGCTACACTAGAGAGCTTTCAGCGGTACTGCTGCTGAGAGAGCTCTCCCATCGGCTTGCTTAATACACCCCCAATGAGTGGTGGTAGCAGCTCTCCTGCTGATGTAGTGCTGTCCATACTGGCACTTAGGTTGGTGTAACTTATGTCATTTGGGGGTAGCTTATTCTCACTGCTGAGCGACCTAAGTTATATCGATATAAGTGGTAGTGTACACAGCCTTACTTAATGTAAAGTTTTTGCTGGAATTTATTTTTGGATTTGATGATATAAATAGAGTAAAAAAATATGACTCTGTTTAGCACTGAGGTTCTGTTTTTTGTTTTTTTTATATATATATTTTTGTAATGTGTATATTACACACACTGAAGCGTTTTTCTAGAGCAACAAATGGGAAATTCTCCTGTTCAGAGTGCTCTTGTAGTGAGCTGATCAAACCATAAGGTGAATGTCAAGGTTACAATTCTTAGCTGATTTACATCAGCTAACTCCTTTGTTTTTTCCAGTGGTGCTGTATTTAGTTACACCAACTGATTATCTGGCCCTAATATACTTGTTCATGCAAAGAGGTACGCCCAAGCAGAATCCCATTTAGGTGTGATCGCTTCCTTTGCAGAGTAACATTCACTCCACAAGCCTCTAGAGTAGCATCTCATTTATTTACTAATCATCAGCACTGTTACATTTCCCTCTTCTTTCCTCCCCACTTCTCCCCCTCTGCCCATGAACTTCTTAGTCTCTAGCACCTTTGTGTGATGAAGATAACCAAGCACAGGAGATCATTAAGAAGCTGCAGAAAAGCTTGCAGTTCCTTAGCCAGTATGCTGCCAGACTTGCTAGTAGAGCAGAGATGTTGGGAGCCATTAATCAGGTAATCTGATTCAATTACTACTTTATGTAAAGTAAGGAAGGTTTCTTTAGTCTAAAGCTCTCTTTAACAGATTCCACTCAGTATTTGTAATTGAACTTCTATTTTATACAGTACACAATTTACTGGAACAATATTATTAAAAAGCATTATGTTGGTTAGCTGCACACTCATTTGTATCGCTGTAACATCTAGGAGCCCTATTTATGGATAAGGATCCTATTGTGGTAGGTGCTGTACAAGTAAAACAAAAGCAGTCCCTATCCCCCGAAGCCTACACTTTAAGTATAAGACAAGATACAACAGCTGGATAGACAGATGGGAGTATGGTGAGATAATATCCATCAGATAGGCAATGGTCTCAGCACACCAGGGGCCTAACCATTGTCAAGTTTTTATAGGCATCGTGGAAAAGGGGAGGTTTTAAGGAAGACAAAAATGAGTTTTGCGGATGTTTACAGGAAGCATCTCCCAGGCATGAGGGGCAGTATGGGGGAAAGCATGAAGGTGCTTGAAAATTTAAGTGGGGGATGGAGATATTGTGGGTTCTCCCCCACCCCCAAGACCTCTTCCAAAACTTCAGTCTCATCACTCAGGTTCCTTTTATTTGGCATACAGCAAAGCTATATGGAGTTGATCGGGCTAAAGCATCTGGGATGGGTATAGGGTGTATGCACATCCAAAGTTACACACAACTTCTCCTTGTATACATTTCTACCAACACTATAACACATGCTTTCCTAACTATACATTGCATCACATGCTTTGGGATTGGCTTGGTTACTCTGCAGGAACCAATCCCTGTACCTGTCCATACTGTGTGCATGCATGATCTGCTTTTTACCAGCTCTTCCATTCCAGGCTTATCTTGTCCATTGTAAATGGTATCAGGGTGTTCCCCCTTATCTCAGCTAGTACAGATATCCCATCTCTAGTCTACTGATCCATTTAACTTCCCAATCGTACCCACTAAAAATGAGGCAAGTCACTTATCATAGAAATGTAGGACTGGAAGAGCGCTCAACAGGTCCAGTCCAGTCCCCTGCACCAAGGCAGGACTAATGATTATCTAAATCAGTGGTTCTCAAACTTTTTTTACTGGTGACCCCTTTCACATAGCAAGCCTCTGAGCATGACACCCCCCCCTTATAAATTAAAAACACTTACATATATATATATATATATATATATATAAAAAAAATTTTTTAACACCATTATAAATGCTGGAGGCAAAGCGGGGTCTGGGGTGTAGGATGACAGCTCGCAACCCCCCATGTAATAACCTTGTGACCCCCTGAGGGGTCCCGACCCCCAGTTTAAGAACCCCTGATCTAAATCATCCCTGACAGATGTCTAATCTGTTACTGTCATGTCCAGTTACTTGTGTCTTGGTCAACATGAGACTGGCAACATGGGCAATCAGAGGCAGAAGTCAACATCTCAATAGTGAATGAGAGATAATAGGTCATGAAGGGCCTCGAAACTTAAGACAGGCAGCTTGTGCTTGATAGAGAGAGGGGAGCCAGTGGGGGGATTCAGAGAGGCGATGTGGTCAAAGAAATCTGCTAGGAAAATGATCTTTGCAGCAACATTCTGAATGGATGAGTGAGGCAAGATTGAGAAAAGGAAGCTGCTGTGACCAAGATGTGAGATGAGACAAGAATGTTTGTTGTGTGGATAGATATGAAAGGCCGTAAATTAGAATGATTATGTGGGTGGTTTTACTCCAAGCATAATTCAATGTCCTGAAGAGCTAACGTCTTTCACCCAGTATTGCATTTACTTTGCTAGGAGAGCCGTGTCAGTAAGGCAGTAGAAGTGATGATTCAACATGTGGAAAACTTGAAACGCATGTATACAAAAGAGCATGCAGAACTTGAGGAGTTGAAACAGGTCTTGCTACAAAATGAAAGATGCTTTCACTCCTTTGGGGATCAAGGTAATTGTTAAATCTAAGCATATTTTCATTTCTCTTCTAAGTAATTGTCATCAGTTGAGCCCTTTAGCTTGTATTTATAAAGCTGCTTGACGACCTCGGATAGAGCATGTATAAAGCACCTCCTATCTCCTGTACAGTTATGATAATTGTAAATGCATAGCAGAAGAAAAGCTTATTGATAGTCCTCACTTACATGATTATTGGAAACATTTAAGGGCAACTATAACTTCAGACTTGTAAGCAGACTTCCTGAATCTCTGAAAGCATCTCCCATTTCATCCCTGGAGTAGCAGGCCTCTTTGGAAGGTGCAACACAGGCTGGTGAACTCTTTTCTCTCGTATGCAGTAAATTACAAATTGGATGTTCATTTTAATGTACATCTAGTCAATCTTCAGTGGCCTGAGTTCAGAAGTTCTAAGCTTTTGAGACTCCGATGGGAGTTGAAGGTGTTCGGCGCTCTGAAAATCAGAACACATTTCTTTAAATTTAAAAGATCCTAGTCTTACGGGTACAATACAAAAATCCTTGCAGAAGCTCTTTAGCCAAGAAGGAAGGAGTAAAAATTGGCACGGAGGAGTACTCCATCTTGTAAAAACAGATCTAACTTGGTAAAGATAAAGTAGAACTTAACCAGACATTGTTAATGAGCCCAGCAGAAGTGACCCCTCCTGCATAGGACATGCAGTAATGTGCAACGTTAACTAGCTTAGCTAGTTTGAGCTAATGGTTACAAGTCTCTAGCTATTTCCAGTATGTATGTATGTATTGGCAATTTTTAAATTTCTTTTTAGAGAGACCAGTGGGTGAGATCAACTCACCCACCTTGCAACTTGCATCTGAAGAAGTGAGGTTCTTACCCACGAAAGCTTATGCTCCCAATACTTCTGTTAGTCTCAAAGGTGCCACAGGACCCTCTGTTGCTTTTCACCCACCTTGTAGCCATGTTTGGCCCAGGATATTAGAGACACAACAACACTGATTTGTTTTTGACACTTGCTGCTTGGGTTTTTTCCCCAGAGGTGCTTAGCTGCTATAAACTTAAATAGGACCTGCAGGTGGTTAGACCATCTGGCTCTATTCCACAATGGCAATCTTTAAAAATCTGCTTACAATACCATTTCCTCTTTACAGATGAATCTACAAATAAAAAGCTTCCAAGTTCTCTCAACTTCAAGGTACCAATACCCCTGAAATTATAAAAAATAAATGGAATGCTGTGTGCTCTTCAGAGCTGCCATGTACATGTACTCCACTGGGGCTTGACATCCACATGAAATCTGTATCTATTGGGCTCTTTGTAACTCCCTAAACTCACAAAAGCAAATCGACTTGATCAGACACGCTAACATTTCAATGGAAAAACGTAACATTTCAATGTGCTGCTCTAAGTGGGTCCATAATCTCCCATGGTTTTGAGGCCTGTCTCTCTTGAGTTCAAAAACTATTGCTCTCTTGGGGTCCTCAATAATGAAGGCTTCAAAATAGGGGTCTTTTACATACTGAGCCAAGAGATATCTAAAAGCAGTGTGGCAAGTTGGCAATAATATCCGTATTTTGGGCTCCAGTAGGTTAACTTAAGACATCTTTAAATTTCAGAATTTGCAGTAGCAGATATACATGCATGTTGTTTCTAATCTAGAAAATAACCCGCATATTAATATGTAAAATTCCCCTTTTTAATTTTTATTTTGTTGAAGGTATACTTAAAGTATTACCCAGTAATAACCCCAGATGTAACTTTTTTAGTGTTTATATGAACTAAACATCAACTTTTATAAATCTATGCCTTGAATTAACATGCCTAAAACTAGTGGTTAATCTAACCAATGCATAATAGTTGTTAATAGCTCTTCTTTGTGTAGCCAACATCATCCCTACGAAGAGTCAGTATTGCAGCATTGCCCAGGAATATTGGAAATGCTGGTATTGGTTTGCCGCTGGTAAGTAAGGGTTGTCAAAGGGTGACTGTTTTCATTCTCAAATTAGTCAGGTCTACTACATTTGCATTTTACCTTCCTTTACAGGCCCAATTATATGGAACTGATGGAAATGAAAGAAGTGACAAATTCCACAGACGATCAAGCAGTTGGTAAGGCTACTTGAGTTTTTTGTTTTTAAATGGGCCTTAATTTTTTCAACTTCATTATGGCTGTAGTAAACCATTCCACTGGAGTAGCTTATTAAGCATCTTTTGGAAGTAATGCTGTAAATGTCTACGCAATGTAAACCTTAAAGTTCAGCTTTTACAGCCACACCTGAGTGTTCACATCAAGTGGCCTGATCTGCAAATTTAAGAGGTTCAGACCGCCCATGGACTTCAACTGCAAGGACATGAGAAAATTTGAATATCTGGCACCTTATAATTTGTGCTTAAATATGAAACCTGGGAGTCAAACTTGAAAAATATTGGCCAAAATCTTCGTAGCCTACTCCAACATAAATGAGCATGCTCATTTATCTCTATCTTGCACTGAAGTTATTTTCTTTACTGTGATCTGAAAGCTTTAGCTGAAGTACTTATTTTCAAGTATGTACATTTGGCAGGGGCCGACTGGGATCAAAACAAAATGAGAAGCGTCCTTCACTGCGACGATTCATTAGCACGTATTCCTGGACAGAGTCTGAGGAAGAACAGTCTGAAACAAAGTAGGTCTAGATTACTTAATCTCCAAGGCTTTAAGGTGGGTTTGCTTCTTGCCCCTGACACCATGTTGCACGTCCAAGCTGCTCTAAACTGGAATACTTACTCTATTTATAAAAATGTGCCTATTTATGTGTATTGATGAGTGCTTACCAGGAAAGTTAATTCTAACACTTACTTGCAGAACCAAACAGTCAGTACCACCAGTTGAAGAAATACAAGAAGACAAAGCAAGGAAGTTAAGTGTTACCCAAAGGGGGAAAAATCCATCAAAATGGAGTCTAGGATCAGCGTAAGTTTCTCAGTTGCAAACATGAATTTCTGTAAGGGGAAGTGGTGGTCAGGTGGAGGACACTGGAAGAGGAAGCAGAGTGGTAATCTTGACTTTTTATTGATGCTGCCTACTTTGAAAGGCGGACATTAAGCAATCTAATTAGCAGGTTAAAGCTCTACTTTTGGTACTAGTCAAGAACAGAACAACTTCTACTCTTACAAGCTCACAAATTCATCTTGAGATGTGATCCCTTGCAGTGTGGTGCTCTGTCTCAACACTGCCGTTGGAGATCAAAGCCTAAGGGCTTAACTAGTCCGGATAGCCCTGTCATTCTAAATCGACAGAGGAAGTCATTGAACTATACATTTACATTAAACCCTCTTGTTGCAGAAAAAATGGCTGATATTTGCAATGCCTACTAGGAGATTTAGCCACACAATTTCCATTAACATGAATGGAATGTGTGAAGAAATCCCATATTTTGGCTTGGAAAATGCAGAGTTTTTGTGCCTCTTCAGAGTTTTATATAAAACATCTTTAGCATCTACTGCTGACCAGAGCCTGCATTCTAAACCCAGAATATAACATGCCACTGTAGCTGGCTATTAGTACAGTGCCTTCATTACATACAATTTATATTCTGTAGTCAGATTAGTAGTAGTCAGACAATATGATATTTAAACCTTAAAGAAAAGCATGTCTGTCCTATGTTTATGGCTTCTCCACAGTTGCAAAATAATGTCATCGTGGGCATCTCATCTGAAGACTTCCTTCTCCAAGGCTAACAAAACTCTCTGGATTTCTCTTACCATCATTGTACTCCTTGCTGCACTCACAAGCTTCCTCACAGGTCTGTCTCTCCAAAGACCTGCAGATGCTGCCCATGTGGGAACTGGAAGTTCCTGGACATCACTACAACAACTGCTGTGGCCATATACTGAACTTCAACACAATGGACCACCACCAGTATAACACACAATCTGTATTTTAATTTGTAAACTCTTTTTTTCTGGACTTCCTGTGTGACTCAATTTGTGTTATATAAACTAGTGTAAACATAGCTCTCAGGTCTAGAATTACTTTAACTTTCTAATACGATTTGAGATAGCATATTTAAAATCATTTGTTTTGAAGCTTTTTAGACTATACTTAACTTTCAATGGTGTAACATTTTGAAGCACGATTTGGAAATACAACTTCCCCCTCTGACAACAGAAGACTATCTTCCCAACTGTCTGAATCCTGTTTAAGATTACAACAACTTAAAAAAATAGCCATCTCTCTTTTTGAAGTTTGTAATAAATGGGTCTAAATGTGTAGTTACTAGAAAGTAAAGAATTTTATTCACAAAAACAACTTTTATGCATTTTTAGGCATTTAAAAAGCTGTTTTGATTTGCATGTGAAATGACAGACATCAAATGTAATTTTATTGACAGAGTTCTTGATGCTCAATAAAGTTAATTTAAAATACTGGCTTAAGAGTATGTTAACACTCTAGTAGCGATGAGTAGCTGAGATATAGCATCAATAAATAGGCAACTGGCTTTCTTTACTTTTTCAATTGCTTCTTCACTGGCAAAATCTTTGATCAGATGGTAGAGAGTAGAATGAAATTCAGTATTTTCCGCTAGATCTTCTGAGAAGGCTTCACTAGTTTCACTGATTCTGAGCCTTTGTGCTCGCTGACCATTAAACATGTAAAGGGACCAGTCTTCATCTTTAACAGCATCTGTTTTAAGGTGTTCGCTCACCTACAGCAGAATGGAAGAATAAATACTGTAACATACTACCACACTTTCTATATAGATATAAAGTGAATATAGGGAGGAAGGTTGATAGGTTGGGATGCTCAGACCCAGGCTCCAGCTGAGACGCCTTGTGTAACTTTGGATCTAGCCCGAGGTGTCTCGATCAGAAGAGGTAAACTAGTGCCTGAGTCCAAAATTTAGATCCTCACAACCCACACTCAGTTTCTACTGATTAAAATCCCCATAGCGCCAAATGTCAGTGGGCATGTGCACCACTGCTTCAATCCTGCTGCTGAGTATGAGACTTAGTGAAATGTCTAGTCTGAGCTCTTGCATTTGTCTGTCGGGGGGCCTAATAGACTAGATGGCCTCAGATGTGTCTCTATACAATGCTTATGGGATCCAGCCCTGCACAAAACAGCAGAACGTGGTGTTTTCTCCAATCCTGCATGGGTTACAGCACTTCCAGTAGGAGGTGGGAAACCTAGATTCAAGCCCCTTTCTCCCCTCTGCCCCCTCACGCCCCGAAAGAGGAGCATGGATGTGAAACCTGGGTCTTTTGCATCCTGAGTGAATGTGCTAATCACTGTTTTTTGGATGTCAGGGGCCACCACAATTCTTTGTCAGAGCTGGCTAACTAGGTTTAGGCACCTAATTCCAGAAGAGAGGCTGTAAATTCTAAGTGGTGACTGAAAAGTCCCTTCCACTCTGCCTGAGGCACATACCCCTGTCCTCAGCATTTTGTATTGAATAAGTTTAGATGGTTCCCCACTCAGCTTGTTGGCTTTTGTGGGTCCTGTTCTAGGTACCCAGGGCTCCCCCAGGAAGGCCAATAGGAATCTTGCATATGTAACTATTTGTCCCTACACATCTAACAGCTCTAAACACACTGAGTCAAGCAACTCAGATTCCAGGATTAGCATCTCATATGTGATAATTACTATGAACATTGTAGTCTCCCTGTGATTGGACAGATGATACTATAGCAATTCATAGCAATTCACTAATTCCTCTTGCGGATTCTTTGAAAGGTGGTGGTGTTAAAGTTGTCCCTTGTGAACTGAGCATTTATTTATCCTTCATCAAAGGCAAGGAAAGGGTGGGAATATTGTACAGACTCATTTAATTGATAATACTGTTAAAATTATTTGCCTTAGAGCTCCAAATTTACTAATGGCACTTAGTATCTAGCAAGTGGGAGTTACCAGCTGTTGTTTTGCACTGCCACGCATCTTACAGAATAGAATTACTCAACCTTGACAAAAGGATACTGTGTATATTAGCCTGTGGGGGGAGGGGGGGAGGAGAGAGCGTGTGTGTGTGTCTGCTAGTTTCCTGCCTCTCATGGGGGTAGGGGCAAATGTATGAACTAAAATAGCAAGGGGTTTATTATCTTATCTGCAGCCAGAGGCTGCAACTGAATCTGCCCTACATACCAGCCAAAAGAGCTCCTCTCTCTCCTAGCAGGGAACAGAAAATAAGTGAGGCAGGATCTCCCTTCTCTATGCCTTGAAAGAAGGGGATGTTAAAGATCTGACACCTGAGGTCTGCCTGCAAGAGGAGAACACTGGGGGCTGCTCTGAGGGGAAGGTGAGCTCAGGTTAGTTGGCCAACTAATAAAACCGTCCATATCTAATGGATAATAGAGGACTCTGACTCAGCCTACCTTTTGAATGAAAATCCTTTTTGTACCCACCTATAGAGCTAGAGAAACCAGGTAGCCCTGGACCGCTCTAAACTTTCATAACCAAGCTAACAGTTATATATGCCAGGTGACCTGTAAAGCAGAGTAAGGGAAGACCCAAAGAGATGCAATCTCAATAGCCAAATGACTGTTACTTAGGAAAGGCATGGGTGAGTACACCAGGGGCCAGCCCTTAGAGAATCAGTGTAGGACACTAAGTTTTGTAAAACTTCCGAAAGCAGCTAATTCTAAAGCTATTAAAACTGCCAGGCCAGAGCCCTGCTCTGAGAAAGGTCATGAGCTACCTGTAGTTCAATGTTGCTTATCTAGTCTTACGTTACATTATTCTGGATTGTTTCTGTGGACTAAGTCTAAAAGAGCAACCTTAAAAACTACTTGATCTTGACCAGATGCCAGATTCCACTTGCTCCAACTGAAAGCAAAAGCAGATGCAACCAGCGCCATCTGTTGATAAGTTGTGAATTCTGCTAGTGGAGTCTGTAACATAAAGGGTACAAATCAGAAACCACGGATCCAACAAATCACCCCACTTTATGCTAGACTACCATACTGAAAAGCAAGTTGCGCTCAAAAGACAGTGGGCCAGATTCTGGTTCCTGGTCCTTTGGGTGGCTCTGCAAGCTGTCTTACCCAGGTACCTGTGGGTTCTGGGTGGTATAGATCCACCTTTGTGCCAAAAAATGTTGTCTACAAGTAGAAAATTGGATTTAAAAAAAAAATAGTTCATAGCTGTCTCACCTTCTTGTTCACGCAGACGTACTTGTAAGAGTAGTCTGATGGGAAAATGTTCACACCAGCCTTTTTCAAAGCAATGATCAGGTCAATTAGAGATGTCCATTTTCCCGTCAAGTGGGAAAGTTGTTCACTCCCATCCACCATGACTGAAGACAGCATACACTGATTACCCTGTTGCACAATGCAATAAAAACAAGTTTTTTCTCCAGATCCTAAGTCCCATAGTGACTACTTTATAAATACCTCTGATGCATAGACATTCACCTGCACCCCATATCCCCAGCACTACCAACCAATAGCAGCCAGGACCAAAACTTCAAGTGGGGGTGTGTGCAGACTGGGAAGGAGGCATGTTTGCTATTGCCTAGCACTTAATCTGCTCTGTTCACCCCTGCCTCTAGAATGTTCCCCGCCTCGAGAGCTTAAGCAGTGCGTCAGCACATTGCCCCCATAGTGGATCTTAATTCAGCTGGCAGATACCTGTCAGATTTTGAGGGTAACTAGAAGGTAGATTTGTATGTGTAAGTCACAGAAGGAGATTTTACACTGAGCAAGTAGCATTAAAATAGCAGATTAGTTGAAGAGCTGCCTTTTAAGACTCCTAAAATAAAGGGGGAAAGAGGGGTAATTTGTGGAGAGTTGTGCTTTGTAAGATGGCCCTAAATTTAACATGGGATGGTGGGAGCTGCAGCTTTCAAAATACATTCATTAGAACTCTGTTAGCAGTATGCTGCCTGCTGGGCAAAAACCTAGGCTAAAGCACCAGTTCTATTCCCTACCCTGCACCTTCCCAATTCCAGGAGGGGGGGGGGGGTCAATACACAAATATCCTCACGCTTTCATCCTTACTAGGGCAGCCTGAACTCAAACATTAGCTCTGATAATGGCCTAAATAACCATTGCATGTTATTGGAGTTGCATGTATCAAGACATGTACTGTACCTTAATTTGCATTTGAACGTCTGCAAAGGCTGTAACAACCGTGAAAAGTAATTCATCTGTGCCATTAGGTCTCAGTTCCCATGACTGGTATGGCATATTGAGGTGAGCATCCTGAATCAGTGTGATTGTATAAAAAGCATCCATCTCAAAAGAGATTTGTTTCTCTTTCATTTTGTACTTTATGTCACTGATACCATCAGTTCTCCATTGTTTGCCTATATTGTATATTAAAAAAAAAGAGAGGAAAAAATTGTTAGCGCTGCTGCTTTTGGTAGTGGTAGTACAATACATCACATTTACCTTGGGTCAAGTGGTATGCTGAGCTCTGGAGAATATTAGGCATATAATACAGATAATAACTGTTAAGAGAAAGATAGTCTTACAATTGGTATCAAAATTTCTCCCTAGCCTAAAAATGATAACTTAAAATGAAAACATGGATGATGGTGCAGCTAACAGTCTGGGAGCTCATTTATAATAAATACAACTCTCGAACATTAATAGAGTCAAATTCCACTTTATTACATTAATGTAAACCAGGAATAACTTTACTGAAGTCCAGTGGGGTTACTTTGGATTAACACTGGTGTGAGAACAGTGTTTGGCCTTTTAAATATATATGATTGGAAAGTAGAATTTGGCTCAAGATAGATTTATATACTATAATCTAAATTTTCTAGCTGTAATTTTTCTCATAACCATCAATGAGTACTGTTACACTGTTGCAACTAAATGGCACAGAGGAACTGCAGCGCTATTAATGGTAAATTAGTTCTATTCAAGCAGGCTATTGTAATTTGGTTGTTTGCACATTGAGGGGAAAAAACGGTTAGTTACCTCTCATAACCGTTGTTCTTTGAGATGTGGTGCTCATGTCCATTCCATGTTAGGTGTGTGTGCTCGCCACATGCACGGATGCGGAAGTTTTTCCCCAGTGGTATTCATAAGGCCGGCTCTGGCACCCTCTGGAGTGGCATGGGTATACGCCGGTGTAAGAGGTGCCATTGCCCCTCCTTCAGTTCCTTCTTGCTGGAACTCCGACAGAGGGGTAGGAGGGTGGGTCATGGAATGGATGTGAGCAACACATCTCAAAGAACAACAGTTACGAAAGGTAAGTAAAGGACAGTGACTGACTGTTCCGTGACTGGCGTTCTTCGAGATGTGTTGCTCCTGTCTATTCCACGTGCACCGGTGCTGGAAGTTTTTCCCTTAGCAGCATCTGTAGTGGGGGAGCACAGCTGCGACCCCTGGAGTGGCGCCGACATATCATGCCATAAAGGGGGCTGCGTGCTCCCCCCACCCTCAGTTCCTTCTCGCCAGACAACTCCGACAGAGGGGAAGGAGGATGGGATGTGGAATAGACAGGAGCAACACATCTCGAAGAACGCCAGTTACGGAACAGGTAACTGTCCTTTCTTCTTCTAGTGATTGCTCCTGTGTATTCCACAGTAGGTGATGTGACGGGTTGGATCACAGAAACCCCCTTGGGAGCTGCCACTTAATGTACCAAGACTACCTCTGCTCCTGTTTTCCCTGCCAGCTCAGGACTTCAGCACCCTGTCTTGCTGAGCCAGACACTCCCGTCTGCTCCAACACAGACCCAGGGTCTGAATAACTTGCCACAAAGCTGCAAGTTTACCTGAAAACAGCTCACAGAAGCGTGCTCGTCTTTAGCACTCAGATGCCCAACTCCCAATGGGGTCTAAACCCAAATGAATCCGTTTTATCAACTCATATATTGTTCGTCCTCTATAACACTGATAGAGAGATATGCACAGTTGTTTGCTCCCCCAGGTATTAATACATACTCTGAGTTAATTAATGAGGAAAAAAGTGATTTTATTAAATACAGAGAATAGGATTTAAGTGGTTCCAAGTAGTAACAGACAGAACAAAGTAAGTCACCAAGCAAAATAAAATAAAATGTGCAAATCTATGCCTAATCAAACTAAATACAGATAAGTTCCTCACCAGTTTCAGAATGCTCCCTTTTACAGGCTAATCTCCTTTTAACCTGGGTCCAGCAATCACTCACACCCTTTGTAGTTACTGTCCTTTCTTCCAGTTTCCTTCAAGTATACTCTGGGGGGGGGGGAGTGGGGGGGCGGTGGTGGTGGTGGTGGAGAGGCTCCTTCCTTAGCCAGCTGAAGACAAAATGGAGGGGTCTCCCATGGGTTTAAGTAGACTCTCTCTTGTGGGTGTAGACCCCCCCTCCTCCCTCCTATGCAAAGTCCAGCTCCAAGATGGAGTTCTGGAGTCACCTGGGCAATTCACATGTCCCTGCATGACTCAGTCTTTACAGGCTGAAGCCATTGTCCACATGGTATCTTGTATGTCTCCAGGAAGACTTCTTATGTGGATTGGAGCATTCCAAGATGCATTGTTCCCCAAGTGCTTCCTGATCAGGTACTTAACCTTGCAATTCCTTCCTAAAGAAACTGACCAAATGCCTCACAAAGCTTACTTAGAAACCAAGCAAGCATACAGCCCATATTCTTAACCTCAAGTAGAAAATGATATATGTGTACAAATAGGATGAATAGATATAGTAGACCATAACCTTTATGGAGAGATGTTACATGGCACAGGCAGCACAAAACATATTCCAGTTATGTCATACATACATTTATAAGTACCTCCCCCCATAAAGCCTTATGGGGTACACTGTCACAGGTGACTCCAAGCTGTACTTGATGGAGGTGGGTAGGAGTTCTAAATGATAATGGTTAAGGGTTACCCATGCGGAGCATCGCCCTACCAAACCCGGCGTCGTCCCATGCTTGGGAGATGATCGCATAGTGCGATGCAAAAGTATGGACAGAGGATCATGTAGCAGCCCTGCAGATGTCCTGAATAGGGACATGAGCCACATAGGCCGCTGACGAGGCCTGGACTCTTGTCGAATGCGCCTTAACAATAGGAGGCGGGGAAACCCCTGCCAGGTCGTAACAGGTGCAAATGCACAAGATGATCCAAAGGGAGATCCGCTGGGTTGAAACCGATTGCCCACTCGCACTCGGCCGTAGCAATGAAAAGCTGAGGGGATTTTCGGAATGGCCTTGTTCAATCTAAGTAAAAGGCCAGCACTCTACGCACATCTAGCATGTGTAGGCATTGTTCCTCATTGGAGGAATGGGGCTTAGGACACAGGACTGGCAGGAAAAATGTCCTGATCCATATGAAATGCTGAGACCACCTTCGGTGGGAAGGCCGGGTGCGGGGCGAAACTGGACCTTCCCCCTTATGGAAGACAGTGTACGGGGGATCCGAGGTAAGCTCCAAAACCCTGCAGGCTGAGGGTTAGCCACCAAAAACGCCACTTTCTCAGATAAGTGGGACCAGGAGCAAGTGGCCAAGGGCTCAAAGGGAGGTCCCATGAAGCGTGACAGCACCAGGTTCAGGTCCCAAGGAGGAACCGGGGGTCTAGCATAAGGGAATGCTCTGTCCAAACCCTTTAAAAATCTGGAAGTCATGTGGTGGGAGAACACTGACTGTCCCGCCACCGGAGGGTGGAAGGCCGAAATGGCCACCAGGTGCACCCTGATCGAGGAGGGAGCCAGCCCTTGGGTCCTAAGGGACAGGAGGTAGTCCAGGACCAGCTGGAGCAGAGCGGACGCGGGGGAGGAACCTCTCTCCCTCACCCATGAGGAGAACCGTTACCACTTAGCCAGGTAGGCCCTCCGTGTGGACGGCTTCCTGCTTTCAAGCAGGACCCATCTAACAGCCTCGGTACACCTCCCCTCCTCCGCATCTAGCCACAGAGCAGCTATGCTGTCAGGTGGAGCGGGGCCAGGTTGGGATGGAGGAGACGACCTCTCTCCTGGGAGAGGAGGTCTGGGCGGAGCGGCAGCCTGTGAGGGGGGGCCGCCAAGAGCTGCAGTAAGGTCCCGTACCAATGTTGACAGGCCCAATTCGGGGCTATCAGGATAATTCTCGCCCCGTCTGACTTCACCTTCTGTAGGACCCTGCCTAAGAGGGGGAAGGGCGGGAAGGCATACAGCAGGGGCCCCAATCAATTAAGCAGGACCGCGTCCGTCATGGCCCCATCGCCTTCTATCATGCTGGAGCAGAACCTGGGACACAAGCGGTTCTGGGCAGTGGCGAATAGGTCTACCTGGGGAGTACCCCACTGAAGGAAGATTCATTCTGCCACCTCCCTGTGCAGGGACTACTTGTGTTGTTGTGAGAACACCCTGCTCAGGCGATCCGCGAGCGTGTTGCTCTCGCCGGGTAGGTGGAACGCTCGGAGGAGGATGTTGTGGGCTATACAGAACTCCCACAGGAGCTGGGCTTCCTGGCATAAGGCCTTGGAGCGCGTGCCCCCTTGCCTGTTGATGTAATACATTGCGGTGGTATTGTCCGTGAGGACTCTGACCACCTTCCCTTATAAGCACTGACATTTATGTGCAGGGACAGTTCCTCGGGTGACCACATACCCTGGGTCCTGAAGTCCCCCACGTGGGCTCCCCAGCCCAGGTCCGAGGCATCCGATACTAGATCTAGCGACAGAGAGGGCTCTTGGAAGGGGATACCCCGGAGCATGTTGCTCAGGAGGGCCCATCATTGGAGGTCTGCAACCACCGTTGGCGGCACCGTGACAACCTTGTCCAGGCTGTCCCTGGCCTGGGAATAGTGGGAGGCTAACCAGAGTTGGAGGGGCCTCATCCGGAGCCTGGCATGTCGCACCACTGAGGTGCATGTTGCCATGTGGCCGAGGATTTGAAGGCACATCCGAGCTGTGGTTACCAGGAAGGCCGTGACCGAGTCGATGAGGCCTTTGAGTGCCTCGAACCTGTCCGTTGGAAGGGAGGCCGTGGCCACCTGGGAATCCAGCAGCACTCCTATGAATTCTATGCACTGGACCGGAACTAACGTGGATTTCTCCTCGTTTACCACTAGGCCTAGATTTGAGCAGGTGCGTAGCAGTTATTTGCTGCTGCACCTGGGACCGGGACTCGCCCTTGAGCAGCCAATCATCCAGGTAGGGAAAGATCTGCAACCCTCTCCTCCTGAGGTGGGCCGCTACCACCGCTCCACCTCGTGAAGACCCTGGGGGCCGTCGAGAGGCCAAAGAGGAGGACCGTAAACTGGTAGTGGTCCTGGCCCATCAGGAAATGGAGGAAGCGCCTGTGACCCTTGAAAATATGGATGTGGAAGTACGCATCCTGGAGGTCCAGCGCTGCAAACCAATCCCTCAGGTCTAGGGAGGGAATAATAGAGGCTAGGGACACCATGCGGAATTTGCAATGAACCAAGAACTGGTTGAGCTTCCGCAAATCGAGGATGGGCCGAAGCCCGCCCTTTGCCTTCGGGATGAGGAAATACCTGGAGTAAAACCCCTCGCCCCGGAATTCCCAAGGTACCCTCTCCACGGCTCCCAGGGAGAGGAGGCACTGTACCTCCTGATCTAGTAGGACCACATGTTCCGGGTCCTCTGCCAACCCCGTGGCCGGAGGGCAACTGGGAGGGGGTGAAACAAACTGCAACCTGTACCCCAGGGATATAGTGTTGAGGACCCAGCAGTCTGTGGTAATATGGAACCATTGCAGACTGAAGGCAGGTAAACGATTGGCAAACCTGAACTTTATTAACTGGGGGGGGGGGTTAACCTGGCAACAGGCCCTGTAACCCCCCGCAAGCAGTCAAAAACGCCGCTTCCCTGGCCTCCTGGCCTTAGAGGGCCCTAGACGAGGAGCCAAACGGGATTGGCGTTGTGATTGGCGCCTCTGCTCCCATTGCTTCTTAGGTGGGGGCTCATATCTGCCTGGAGCCTGTGGAGCAGAGGTGTGAGGCCTGGGCTTGTCCTTGGCCAGCGGGACGTACAGGCCCAGCGTCTGCAGGGTGGTACGGGAGTCTTTCATCCTGTGCAGATGCGTGTTTGTTTGATCTGCAAACAGGGGCCGACCATCGAATGGCAGGTCCTGCATGATTGACTGGAACTCAGCCGATAGTCCAGAGAGCGAAAGCCAGGACGCCCTTCTCATGGAGATCGCTGCAGCCATCGAACGAGCGGCCGAGTCTGCCGCATCGGAGGCCGCCTGGAGCGCTGCTTTAGCCGCCGCCGCACCTTCCTCAACTAGAGCCCGGAACTCCTTCCTGTCCTGCTCGTGAAGAGAAGGCTCAAATTTGGGCAGGGATCCCCAAAGGTTAAAGTCACATCTGCTCAAGAGTGCCTGATGGTTGGCCACTCTGAGCTGAAAGCTTGCAGATGAATAAACCTTTCTTCCAAAGGAATCCAGCCTGCAAGCGTCTTTGTCCTTGGGGGTGGGAGCGGGTTGGCCGTGTCTCTCCCGGTGGTTCACAGACTCCATCACTAGAGAGTTCGGAGTTGGGTGGGAGTAGAGGTACTTGTGCCCCTTTGTGGGCACAAAGTACTTCCGTTCGGCCTTTTTGGAGATAGGACCCAGGGATGCCGGGGTTTGCCAGAGGCCAGTAGTGATATTAGCCACCCCCTGATGGAGCGGGAGGGCCACATGTCCCGGGGTTGAGGAGGTAAGAACATTGAACAACGTGTCCGATGGTTCCTCCATCTCCTCGGCCTGGAGCTGGAGGTTCGATGCCACCCTCCTGAGTAGCTCCTGGTGGGCCTTGAAATCCTCCTGAGAGACCGGAGGAAGTGGAGCCACGGAGTCATCCGGTGCCGAGGAGGTCGGTGCCGCGGTGTCATCTGCACCCGGCTGTATCGGTAGCTCGACGTCCTGACCCGGGGCCCGAGTCGGTGCTGGAGGGTCCCATTGCCTCATCACGGTGCCGAGGCAGCGACATCGGCTGGGCCTGGGATGCTCCCGCCACGGAGCGGGGTCCCGGCGGTGCCGGTGCCTGGGGCCACGGTGCCCACTGGCACCACTGTCCCTGCCAGGGAACCCCCTGGGATGCGAGGGGGCCCGGTAGGGCCAGCTGGTCCTGCGGCACCGAGCGGCTCGATGAGGGGTGGCTACGTGCCGAGGCGGAGGTCCGGGACGAGCGAACAGTGCCGTAGGAACGGCTGGATCGGTCCCGAACATGACGTCTCCAGCCCCTGGAGGAGGACAGGTAGGAGTCGGGAGTGCTGTCCCTGTAATCCCTCCGGCCCCCAAGACTACGACGCCTCGGTGCCTGGGACTCCCGTGACGAGCTCCGAGCATAGCGCCTTCCACGGCGGGTGCCGGTGCATGAACGGCGGTGCCGACGATGACGAGACCTGTCCCTGCGGGCAAGGCTCAAAGAGAAGCAGCTGCCTCTTAGTGCCTCCCCTACGGTCTCCCGGAGTGGAGGAGGAAAGCTCGCTCACAGACGACCCTGCTCACGGCATGGAGGCGCACCGTGGTCCGCGGCTCGGCCCTTCAACTCGGGATGGTGCCTCGACCTCAGAGATGTCCGGAGAAGGTTGATGGGCACTGAGCGAAGGCTTCCCACGGGATCGGGGGCCCGCCTGGAGCGGCGCTCCCGGTACCGGAAGCGTCATGACGTCACACACGGCTTCAGTTGCCTCCGGCGTTGAAGGCATTCTCACCTCTGGCAAGGTGCGCATGGACGGCACCGGACTATTCCGCTCCACCCGAGTCAGAGGTCTCAGTCCCGATGGGGATCGTGGGCTGTCCGGCGCGGGTCTAGCCTCACCCCATTCTTTCTCCCGGCGCCGCTGAGTCTTCCCTTGCTTCTTAGAAGGGGAACGGTGCCGGCTCGTCGATGGGGCCTCGCTGCGCGCCAACGACGCAGTACCGGCTGCGGAATCAGGATGGCGCGCCGGGGGCGCTTCGCTGCGCCATGACGACGTGGTGCCCAGCGCGGGGTCGGCTCAACACGCCAGTGCTGGGGCCAACGCCAACTCCATTAGGAGAGCTCGGAGTCGGATCTCACGCTCCTTCTTTGTTCGCGGCTTGAAGGAGCAGCAAATTTTACACTTCTCATTAATGTGAGCCTCGCCCAGACAGCGAAGACACTGAGTGTGTGGATCGCTTCTGGGCACAGAATTGCGACAAGAGTTGCACGACTTGAAGCCTGGGCCACAGGGCATGCCCCGAACCCGGCACTAACAGAGAAAAGATCAACAAGTAACTTCAGTGAAAGCTGGATACCACTAAGGCTAGAAATGCTGCAGCAAAGCTGGAGCACAAAGTTCCGACTACCTTCACTGGCGGCAAGAAGGAACTGAGGGTGGGGGGAGCACGCAGCCCCCTTTATGGCGCGATATGTCGGCGCCACTCCAGGGGCCGCAGCGGTGCTCCCCCACTATGGATGCTGCTAAGGGAAAAACTTCTGGCACCGGTGCACGTGGCGAGCACGCACACCTACTGTGGAATAGACAGGAGCAATCACTCGAAGAAGAACCTTTTTTTTTTTCTTCGAGTGATTGCTCATGTCCATTCCATGTTAGGTGACTCACAAACAGTACCTCTGGAGGTGGGTCAGGAGCTCATGGATGCGTTGATTACAACACCGCTCTACCGGAGCCAGCGTCGTCTCAGACCTGCTGGGTGATCGTATAATGGGTCGTGAAGGTAAGGACAGATGACTATGTTGCGGCCCTGCAGATGTCCTGGATCAGAACATGAGCCAGGAAGCTGCTGACGATGCCTGTGCTCTTGTTGAATGAGCTGTTACTATCGGCGGCAGAGTAGAGAAGAACCACTGGTACAATTGCTTGCCAAAGCAAGAGGATGCTCCAGCACCATCACTGGCGGTAAGAAGGAACTGAAGGTGGGGGGAGGGCTGCCGGTGCCTCTTATTGCGCGTCACTCCAGAGGGTGCCAGAGCCAACCCTACAGCTACCACTGCGGGGAAAACTTCTAGCACCGGTGCATGTGGTGAGCACACACACCTAACATGGAATGGACATGAGCAAGCACTGGAAGAACAACATATTTACTACAACTGACCAAAAACCTTTGGACAAAACATTTTTTCATGGGGATTTACCAATTTATTGAAATCAAAACGTTCTGCAGACGCCGTTCAATTTTGATTAAGTTATCTCCAGAAACAAGGCAAATTCTGAAACCAGGACTTCCACGGTCTGGCACCCAGGGACGCCAGGATCTGCAGTGCCAGGACAGCATTCCAGGCAGACTGTCTCAGAGCTAGGATTCAATCCCCTTTCACAGAGAATTTTGGGCTTTTATTCCTAATCAGAATGAAATTAAATACTGAAATATTGAAATCTTTCACAAAATGAAATACCTTTCTCTGTCTTGCTCTAATATTTACACTATATGGGAGCTAAAACATGTAAACCCAAACAGTAAAGCAGAGATAATAGCCTATCATCATTTTAGAAAGATTTTTTTAATGGAGCCAATTGCCAAGAGATATCATTGAATGAGGACTGAAACACTATACAACATTTTCCTTACTTCTAAATAATTTACAGAATAACGACTGTTTGAATAAGGGAGCAACAAAATCTTGAGTCTATTAGAAATTCTGCACCAATTGAATGTTAAGCTTTCAAAAATCAAAGGATAATGAACAGCAAAGGGCCCATACCAAACTCTGGATCTGAACTGGATCTCATCTTTATAATGGGACTTGCCAAAGTCTGAGTTCCAAATACTCCATGAACTTTGGAAAAATTAAAATCCAGATCTGAATTCTGGGACTTGAACTTAAGAAAGGTTTTTGGATTTAGCATGTGTGTGTAACAGCTGGCTGAAGACTTACTGTACCTGCAGAATCCCATCTGGCAACCATAGGTTCCTCAAAAAAGATCACACTGTCAAGAAGTCTAAGAATCACCCCTATACGTGGATATGTGGCATCTTCAGTTTCTTCTGATTCTGGAGGATACGGATATGTCTCCAATCCTACATCGAGTAACTTTGATGGGGAGGTGAAGAAAAGAGAAAATGTCAACAGCAATAGACTACTAAATTTTGTAAGCCACTTTGGTCCTCTGTAGAGTTCAATAAAATACAATTTAAAGCGCTAAAAACTTTATATATCATTTGATAATTCTACACATCTGTGTAACTTTGCAAATTACACTTTGCTTCTTCTGCATCTTCCATCTGAGGATCTCAAAGGGCTTTCTACAAACACTGTACAGCCACAGAGAGGGGCGACAGCCATTACTCCAGCCCATATGTATGACAGTCAAGTACTGCCTGCACTGGGGGCTGTATTGCAGCTCTACATGAAGGTGCTGGGTTAGGCATGAGGAGTTATATGTCTCAGTCCCCCAATGAACATATTTACTTGAGCTAGATGCAGTTTATGTAAACTATGTCTATTAATGAGATGAGTATCACAAAAATCCTGTGATGCAGGTAAATGTGATCTCAAATTTTACAATTGGGAAACTTAGGCATGCTGCCCAGGGACCATAAAGTCTTCAGCAGAGCCTGGAATTAAACTCAAAGCTCTGTTATCACAATCATAGGCTTTAACACATCCTTCTGTTTATAAAATGAAGCAAGGACTTCCTTTTCCTTTAACCAACATCTTTAGGAGCATTTTCAAATGCAGTGATTTCAGGTGTCTGTGCTACCTCCATTTAACAGAACTGGCTGTGTGAATACCTGTCTGAATGCATACACATCCATTATATGGATGCCACAGTTATATAACAAAGTTTGCAGGTGCAACTGAGGAGCATGATTTGAAAACTCAGCTTTTAATCTCAGTGCACAGAAATTCAAAGGATAGAATAGGGTGACCAGATGTCCTAATTTTATCGGGACTATCCCGATATTTGCTTATTTGTCCCGCGTCCCGACCTACCTTTGGTCGGGACGCAAATTTTTTTTTTGCTCCGCCCCTCCACACACCCTCCCCTTCCCCCCCCCTCCCCCCGCGTCCCGATATTTCACCTGTGTGATCTGGTCACCCTAGGATAGAACTGTTTGTTTATACTGTGTGAACTCTATATTGACAAATCTCCAGAACTGTGGCAACTCTTTCCAGGGTAATCAGAACTAAAAGAGATTCATTGGGTGCAATTTTGCTTCAGTTCTTGACCTACTTCCACCATGGTCCAGCCTTTGATTTGTTTGGCTTGAGGTGGGAGCTTCAGTGCATCAATAAGGTACACTCCACCCACTGGTGTGAACTGGTGCAAATCAACTACATTTTCGCCAATTATCTCTTCTTCTTTTTCATCAGTGGCCACCTGCAGTGGTGCAACCTGAACTAAATAACAACCAAACCATGTATTAATTCAATGTCTGAATAAAGTACCAAGATTTCAAATCCCAAATGCTTTTTGCACATACAGCATCTAAATATGTACTTAAATGGCTTTCTACGCTGCAATATCTCAGCGCCACCTTCTGGTGGTCTATGGATTTTTTAAAGGATTCACTGGAATGGATAAAACTAGACAGGCAACAAAAATGAATAGAAGGCTTATTCGGGGCTGGACTTAGGTTTTGTGGGGCCTTAAATTAAGAACTGTAGGGCCCCCAATTATAATTAGGCATATGGCTGATGTGCTACCTATGGGCACTTGGAGTTCCTTTGTAACCAAGGCATTCTGTAGCTGCTTAGACTATGACCACCAGTGGATTTACTAGTCCATACCTAATGATTACACCATCTTCTTAGGTTTTTAGTACTGAGATTTTGAAGAGAAGGGTGCATTTCTCCTACTACTAGGCCCTGATTCTGTAAGTGACTTCACAGGTCTGCTCAAGCAGATTCACCTACAGAATCAGGGTTTTGGGTATAATCTGTGCAACCTCAATAAACGCAGTGGAGTTTCACAACAGTAAATGACAGTAGAATCTGGTCTGGAGTCAGTGAGGTTGCACTGGTTATAACTAACAGGGAGAACTTGGCCCCCATGTTATATAAAATCCTACAGGAGTTATGGAAAGTGCATGCTATAGGGGTTATGGAAAGTGCATGTAGGGCAAACATGGGGCCACAAACTGAAGTTAGAAAAGGAAGATGCTTAACACAGTAGGGGATGGAGGGTGATGAATTTGTGGTTCAAAATTCTTTAGAGAATCCGAAATGGCAGAGTAGAGGAAATTCCTTACCAAAATTCTTAAGAGACTTTCCAGTGGTGAATGTTTTTTAAAAGTTCTAAGCACTTAAAGAAAATAATATAGGATTTTCACCCTCTAACAATATGTAGGTGGCTGGATGGTCACTAGCAATGTTCAAAATGCATGAAAAATAGGTTATTAGGTATCATAATATAAGGAAAACAATTTATTATGAGGATCCACTTAAACTCTGTTCAATAACACAAGATAAAGTAACTACTATAAAACTTACTAAATAAAAGACTATATTTTTTTAAAATGAGATAATCTCAACAAATTAAAAATATCAAGTGTGATGTGTTTCCAGGTCTTTTTTAGAGTGAGATGGGAAAGGGTTGCTAGTTTCATATGAATATTATATATGCTCACATATTGTATGTAGTTTTTATAGTATACTGTGCGCATACTACTATATTTAATAGTATAATATACTAATCTATGTAGTAAATCCACTGTACTATTTACTACAACTTTGGCTTTCCTTTTTTTAATTAAAAAAAAACCAAACTTCTTCTAAACAAAGCTAAATACTTGTTCTCCCAAGCTAAATCATTAAGATCTTTTTTAACTCTTGTAAAAATATATTCAAATAGAGAAGACACTTTGCTCTTTACATACTTTTTCACACTAAAACAATGAAGAAAAAAGACCTTAAACAAATACAGATAATTATACCATTTCTCGGCACAGGTCTTAGTTAATATTAAGCCTGGGATTTTTAAAGGCACTTAAGAGAGATAAATGCCTAAAATCCACTCCTTGGAAAAATCCCAGGGGAAATACGTACCTGGGTCATCCCTAGATGTGAACCTGAAAGTTTGGTTGCTGGGGCAGCACCTAAAGGAAAGTTCTTTTAAACAGGTAAAAGGCTCTATTACTCAGATAATCAATGCTGCACAACACACAGTCATCTTGTTTTAGAAGAAAGTGTAAGAAATAAATCAATGTTTTTACTAAACTGAAGGATCTAAAAGTGTTGGAGAAATTGATGGCTGATTTATATGAGAAAGAAGACTACAACTAGCAATGATCTCTTTCCTGGGATTATGGCCCTGATTCAGCTAAGCACTTAAGCATCTTACTTAAGTACATGCTTAAGTAAGGAAGTATTCCTGGGCTCCCAGTTATGCATAAGCTTCAATAACTGACAATCTCAGCCTAACTCAGAAACAAGGGAAGAACCTTATTCACTCACGACAGATACCTAGCTAGAATCTCAAGACACTTGTATGTATTATATTTTATAAATATATAAAATGAGAGCAATATCTACAACATCTTTGTTCTGTCCATGTAGGTGTCGGTGCTACATTATATACACTGGTTTTGTATGCTCCAATGTTTGCCTAGAGTAAAATCAGAAGTTTAAAAATGTATATAATTATGCAATACTGTATGTAAAATCTGAGTACCTCCTGAAATGGTGCTAACATTTTCTAATTTCTTATCAGATTCCTCTTCTAGCTTCTCATTTTCACCAGGATCGATTTTAGTGCTGTCTTTGAAAGAGATGGCACTCTATTTAAAAAACAAACATAAAAACAAAATATAATGTTTTTAGGTTACAGTGAGACAGGCACAATTAAAAATAGTGTAGCTTCTTTGTGAAAATGAAAACCTCGGGAGAATGAGTAAGGCCCTCATTATGCAATGAGATGTGCATGAAGCTCACTGGAGGAATGGGGCCATAGTGTAGGAATATCCAGAATGCATCATTATGGCACTCTTCTTTTTTTTTTGCTAGCTGACAAAACCAGGTTTTGGTACAAAAACATTGTCTCAGGCAGTCTGGATTTTGTCAAAGTAAGGTAATCAGCTTTACATATTAAATATATAAATAGAGAGAACACGTTTGCATTTCTATAGCAGCTTCCCTCCAAAAATCCCAAAGCACTTTTCAAATATTAATGAATTCAGCCTCACAGCACTATGGGAAGTAAGTATTACTAGCCTCATTTTTCTGATGAGAAAGCTAATGCAGGGCGAAAGATAGGAACTGTAATAGAAACAAACATAGAATTCAGATATCCTGACTCTTTCGTTTGTACCTACCCTATGAGACTTTTCATACCTCTCATTGTTTTCCCTTTTCACAAAGTTATTGTAAGTTTTGGATTTTCATCCTAGATGTGCCCTCACCCCTGTTGTGCCAGACTTCTGAGAGGCATAGTAATGGGGAAAGTAGCCGGGCACTTATTGCATGTTTGTTCCCCCTCTGCTAGACGGAGCTAAAGTGCTTCTCCGTATACACTGTGTGAGGGAATTGTGGCAAGAGGCAGCCTGCAGACCTGTATGGAATGCCTGCCCTGCAGGGGAACAGAGAGAGACCATGCAGCAGCAGAAAGAGGGACAGAACTAGAGAAAAAAATGGGGGAAGAAAAAAACTAAGGGCAAACAGAACTATAAAAGATATCCCAGGTGAGCAACCGGCGTTCAGAGAAGCGGATCCCTGAGGTGGGAACAGGAAAAGAGTGAGGATTGGTGGAGAGGGAACTAGACTTGGAAGAGAGAGGAGAAGAGTGGGGAAAAGAACCAGGTAAGGAGCTTAACCAGGAATGAAAAGCAAAAGCCAGAAAAATACAGGAGAAAGACAATAAGACAGGTGAGATGTGTCATGGTATAAAAGTAGGGTTACCAACCCTCCAGGATTGTCCTGGACTCTCCAGGAATTAAAGATTAATCTTGAATTAAAGATTATGTCATGTGATGAAACCTCCAGGAATACTACCAACCAAAATTGGCAACCCTATGTAAAGGAAACAGGGAGTGGGGATGACCTGCCTCAGGCATTGCTCTGCAGCAAATATGGTAGAGGGAGACACAACAAGGCCAGGAACCACTGCTGTAAATATATGTTAATAAGATGTAAAAATGGTAGTTTACAGTTATTTACCCAGAAAGTTTGGCAGCAGAATCAGAGTAATTTAGAACTGCCTGTTAATCTACAAGCCATAGAAGCTAATAAGAGTAAAAAAAAAGCCATTGTACAACTATGGGATATCACTTGGAAGAGATTCAGATTGATAGAGATGGTATTTTGCCAGCCCTCTAGTGGAAAAACCATCAACATACAGAGACTAAACAACCACAACACCAGAGTAAAGACCCATTCCATTCTAAAACCTACTTTGCACCCCTTCAGACTGTCCTGACAGTGTTGGACTCCTGTGTGTGGTTTGTGGGACACTGAATTTTCATGTGCTGCAATATATATACTGCTTACTGTATTTTTCACTCCATGCATCTGATGAAGTGGGTTTTAGCCCACGAAAGCTTATGTCCAAATAAATTTGTTAGTCTCTAAGGTGCCACAAGGACTCCTCGTTGTTTTTGCTGATACAGACTAATACGGCTACCACTCTGAAAACTGAATTTTCTGTAAACAGAATCAGTTCATTCTAATATACTTATTAACATTTTTGAATGACCCTCTTACAGTGATGTCTTACAATTGTATCTGGTATTATCCATGCCCTGATCCCACTCCCATCCACAACAATCACAAATCTTCATTCCTACTACAACTTTCCATCAAAACAGTCATTTCTACTCTCCGATTGCTGGTCTTTCTTTTCTCCTTCCCCTATCTCTCAAGATCCATGGCAGTCCAGCAGGTGTGGCAATCTGTGTGCTGTGCCCTAAGCTGAGGATGGTTACTTCAAATTCCTAAGAATTTGGACTTTCCCTCACTTGTGGTCTACAATGGATGGTGCAGCTAGATAGCCCCCAAATTTGTAAGATTGTAATTTGTTCATCTCACACCTTGTGTGGCTTCAGAGCTTGCCAGTCTTGGTAAACCCAGCAGATCTCAAAAGGCAGGTGGTTGAGAAGATAACCAGAAATGAGAGGGACTATAGGGAAGGGTGTGACTGCAAGGAAGGGAGAAGGCTTAGGATACTTTGGATAGTTTCAAGGAACAAGCCATGGCCTCCTGGAGTGGGCAGAAGAAGATTGGTTATACAAAAGTCTTTGTGGAATTGACTCAAAAGGTTCAGTGTTTTTGGTATCTCACCCTACATCCTGCCACAGCAGTTAAGATTGACTGAGATGCTCTTGCTGTCAGGTCCTTGATTTGAATTCTGCAGGACTGCTGCAGAGCCTTCTCCAGTTGAGAATCACTGGCTTTGTCATGTTCTAGTCTTGGTGGTCTGCCTGAGCTTGGGTTTGGTGATCTTCAGGGTACGATGTATTTTTATGTGATGTGGCATGTAGCTGATTTAGTTTAGTCTTGTTTTTTTGTTTAGTTGGTGGTGGCAACAGTGCTTATGGATAGCTTTGTCACCTATGGAGCTAAATTCTATATGGTGTAAATAACAACAGAATTTGGCTCTATCTGGTTTTAGTTTTTGTATCTAAGTGCTTAGAGACTACAGTTTAAAAGTGTTTTAAAAATTCACTATAGGACAAATCTTTAGATATTTAGCTCTTACTTTGTCCTCCTCGAGGAAAACTCCCATTGACGTAAGAAGAACTTCACTTGGATAAAACTTGAGTTAAGATCTCAGGATCTGCTCCCTTACCTTTTCAGGGTACTGAACCGCTAGTACTTTTGTGGTAGGCCCATTTTTAGTTATAAGGAACTCAACTGCAAGACCTTCTCCAAAAAGGAGGAATTCTTTTATAAAGAGAATGAACATTTTAAGGACTTTTTTTGTTTTCTAAGGCACAAGGGAGACATGTAAAGATCTGTTAAGATGCTAATACTATGCAGCTAGATATTAACTGACAGCACTGTCCATGCTGTACCTTTTACATCTTTCTTACCTTTCTTCCATCAGATTCCTTTTCAATTACCAGGCTGCTGTCTTCCCCACTCTTTTGTTCCTCTTCTTTTTCTTCTTTCATATCATAAAGCACAGTTAATTCTGGTTTGCTTTCTGGGGCTTGCACCTTTAAATGCAGTTTGGGAATGAGTTGTAGTGGGGAAATATGATCATAATGAGTGTGCAAGATGCGGACAGCAACATCACTTGTGGCCACTGTCTTTGGAAGATCAAATCCATTTTCTGCATCACAAAACATATGATTTTTAAATCTGTAAACAGAGAATTAAAGCAAAAGAATTCTCTAGTAAAGTCAGTATAATTATTTGTACATCACACTTCAATATTCCAGTACATTTATCACAGTAATACAGGCACCTATGTTGCCTTTTACCATATGTCACAGTTTGGGGAACAAAACTGGAAAAATAGGTTAGATGGTCATCACATGCTCACCCAGTACCGAGAGCTGCCACCAGCCCCTCCAAGATAGCTAAAACAGAATTAAAAGAATTAAGCTCTGCAGGCAGTTAAGGATCATGGCCAAGCAGAGAAGGGGAGGAGTCAGCTGTTCTCTATAGCATCCTCATAGGTAAATTGGACTCATTTATTAGGCACATTTCTGCATAGGTTAATGCAGCTGCTGTCTGTATTAAGTCCCTCTCCACAGTTTCCACAAACAAGCTGAGGAGGCACTTAAGGTAAAGAGAGTCAAGCTAGGAGAACAAGCACATCACCTGCCTCTGTGCCACTGTAGGAAATGGGCTAGAAGGCATACAGAAGGAGATCAATTCTGTGTCAAATCAGATACCCAAGAACTTGGGCCTTTTCCCCCCATGGATCTTTGGCCTGCCATAGTATGACTGGAGGTCCCATTTCTGACCAAACAGACAGAGACCTGTTCAAATGAGAACTCTCCTTCTGCCCATTTTAATACAAGAAGATATTGGCTAGAATTATAAATCTTCCACACATAAACCTCCATATTTTGCTTAGGAACATTGGGTGAGATTCTGTGCTGTGCTTTAAAAGGTGCAGCATATTCTGTGCCCAATCGAAGGATGCTAACGTAACATCAAGCCACTTTTACACTCTCCTGATTCAAGGCTCCTTTGCTGCACATAGAATAATTTAAACAGTTCTGGGGGGCACAAGTTACAGAAGCCTCCCTAGGCTGCCCTATAGGCTGCAGTGCTGTCCTAACACTCCAGAGTGCTGTAGCCCTGCCCCAACATAGCCATCCTAGCAGACCCCCTACACTAGGGTTTGCGAGGGATTCCTCAGCAGGCAGTCTTACAGCTGTCTTCCACAATTCCAGTGTTTGGCACACTCCCCCCTCCCTCCAGGCAGATGAGGGCCACTTGTGGAGTAAAGTGCTACTCAACATGAATAAGGGTTGTCAGAAACTGGCCCTGAGTCTTTATTACATAGAGATGTACAAAGATAGAGCTAATCTGAAATAAGTTCACTTTTGTACTGTACCTTGGATTCTTCTTGAGGTTTCCCCAAATACAGAAAGTGATATTTTTATCTTTTATGACCACATCCATATTTCCACTGTCAGAATCTGCGAAAGTACTAGCCTTCTGCAAAAAACAAATCAGCATATTACTCTAAATTAAACTAGGATGGAGTTGATGTACCTGACACTGATGAAAGAACTGCTATTGTCTTTGCACTAAGAACGATTAAAAAACTGAGCAAATCATAAATTCTTAGGATAACATCTGACTTAAGTAAAATCTACATGTGATAATTTGTAACGGCCTATACGAGATTTAAAACTTTCTTCACTGTGATCACTAGCTAAAATGTTAAAAACAGTCATTGATTACTGTATAATTTAATTCAGTGAATTAACTGATCACATTTATGACATATTTCTTATCTGCCCTAGAAAGACAGAGTCTTCCCCTTGTTCTCTCTACGTGGGGACTTACCCCTATAATGGTCAGTCCTTGCACTTCTGTACAAAGGCCCAGAAAACCCACTTGTTCAGTGATACACTCTAGTTACAATGGCCACACATTATCCTTTGTTTAGGTGCATAGCATTGTATTACAGCCACTCAATGCCTTTAGTCTGTAAATCCAGGTAGTCAGGGATTCTCTCTTTTATCTGGTACACTTGAGCTGTGATAAAGTCTTGTGCACAACTACCAGAATTACATAAATCAAATAATAGTAATCCAGTATCTATAAGGCACCCATTATTGTGGTATCTGGCTGCACTTCATATGAGTACCAATAACAACTTCTCCAAATTGGGGAGCGTATATTTTGATGCCAATTTGTCCTCCTTTTTGGCAGCTACTCGCATAGATATCGTCACATATTTTTCTATGCTGCTGCTTTTGCATAAAACACCCTACGTGTAATGATCCCCTTCCTTCAAATCTATTTAAGTAACCTTAGAGCTAGCATTTTATATTTATTGAAGATTCTCCAAAATTATAAAATGTAAAGGGACCCTGGGACAAACTGGTAAGCGATAGGTTAATTTGACTTCAGCTGTGTTAGCTTACAAATCTGCTTTCTCCACCAAGGACAAGAGCTGGGAGTAAGGCAGTTGTACACTCAGGAATGTCAGCGGCAGCTATTTTTTTTTGAAAACCCCATAAAGTTATCTCAGAGCAAGGCAAAATTCTATTACACCCTGACAACCAGTAACAGGATAACAAGGCTGTTTGTTGAAGAGCCATTGTCCATTCTGTCTCCCACAGAAACAAACACATAATAATCTACAATTTTTAAAGATACAGTTCATCACAGAATATACAAATAAGGTATTAACATTAAAATATCAGCGAGAAACAGAAGGAAGCAGCACATTTTGATATGTATATTCAGACAGTGCAAGGATAAGGTGAAAGCTGAGCTGTGGCCATCAAGATTGTAAATTGAAGATCAAAGGAAGAGCTAACTGTAACCTGAAAGGTTTCAGAGTGGTAGCCATGTTAGTCTGTATCAGCAAAAAGAATGAGGAGTACTTGTGGCACCTTAGAGACTAACAAATTTATTTGGGCATAAGCTTTTGTGGGCTAAAACCCCCTTCATCAGATGCATGCAGTGGAAAATA